GTGTGTGTGTGTAACCCTTGGAATCATAGGGATCCTTTCGGATTGTTTTAGCTTCACAGTTGTTTTCCTTGTGCAGCAGGGGGACATGGCGTACAATCAGGGACCATGTCCAACGAAGCTACCTGATTGTACGGGAAATGAGAGCTGATCACTCTCACGTACCTGCTTTGAGTTTTTCCGTGCATGGCCACTGGGCTAAGCCGAGAACCCAGCTAGTTTCTACCCTTAGTAAAGGGCTAGTGAGTTCCGCAGACATGCACGTTACGCCGTCACCCCGTCGGTCCGTTTTCGCCTTGAGCTTTTGGCCTTCTTTCCTCTTGAAGTCCTCCAGGTTCCCGTGGTTCGTACTGGTACCCTTAGGAATCGAACCCTAGGCTGGCGTGTGGCACCGCTTTCAGTTCAGTACACCCTATCCTAAGTGTGTGCGCGTTTTGTTTGTTTGTTTGTTTTTCATATTCTTCCGCTTTCTTTTGCCTCAATGGCCTTGTCTAAAGCAGGAGGCCTTCAGCGATCCTGGCAAAGCCCGGCTGAGTGACCTCCAGAAGCGGCTCCGGAGATTTGGAGATGAGCTAGGCAGGGACCGCGGGGGGCGTTGGTGAAGGTGGACCTTCTAAGAAGTGGTGAACCAGTTTCCGAGAAATGGAGGATTGATGTTCCTGGTTGTGTCACAACAGAACAGGTGGAGAAACGAATGGGAGGGGGTGCTTGGGAGGAAGATCAGTGCAACTAGAGGTTCACGAGGAGGGGGACCCACCAATCCAAGGGGGACCCACCAACTGTCAAGGTCTCATCATAGCGGACCTCATGTTTCCTGACATGTGGGCAAGCTGGCTTCTCCAAGGGGGGGGCTTGCCTCATACTATCAGGATCCCTTCATGCCATGCGACGAACGGAGTGAAGAATTTCAGTGGACGTGGTCGATTCCTCCGCTGGAGCCAGCGCAAGCGGCCGAACTGGTTGGCCTCCCAACCGGGTTTTCTCGATGTTTTGCGACCAGGTGTGGAGGAAATCTCGTGGGCACTGGAGCGAACTGATGACACCTGGCAGGTGAGCTGAAGAATTGGCAGGAAACTGAAGTGCCACAGGCACTGGGTCTAGACTGCACCCGGAATTTCATATTCTCAGCCAGGTGCACGACCTCACCTTCACAGCATGGACAGGATCTTTGCTTGCTGACAGCGTGGTGAACGATGTCAAACCAGCTAGAAAACACGGCTTTTGCACACTTGGGTCACCTTGTTCTGCAGTGCTTCAAGCACATCAATCCTCGAAGAGCTATTAAATAGCAAAGGTCAACCCACGCGACGTTGACCTTTTCCGGTCTGAACCGAAGAGATCTCCCCAGTGAAACGCTGTCCTGTTTGGGAACATCGCCTCACATCGTAGTAGGTAACAACCGGCCCCAAAACATTTGGTCCTTTGATTAGGAAGCCCTGTTTAGTGACCAGTTCTGCGGCGAGAGACGTCCGCTTCTCGCTGCGCCTGCCGCGAGAAGCGACAGAACGCCAGGTGGCAAGGATCTCATTCTGCCTGGGTGTCATCTCGATGGCTCTTTTGGTGTTGCTGGCTCTTTGGCAAAAGCTTTTGTGCATGATTTCGAGCCGAGATGCGACGACCGCGCGGACTGACTGCGCGGCTAAATTTTGTACTTGCTTTCTTCAGAGGACGTTTGGATCAAAGGGTCGGCGTCATGCGCGTTTGAGGGCCAAGGGTAGCTCATCACCAGTGTTTGGGTCAAGGACGGAGTTTTAGCACCTTGTCTCGCCAACGCCACACGTTTTGTGTGCTGTGCCTCGTCTTGCCTCAGCGGCCCCAGGTCTTGTCCGGCATGGAGCCCCAAATCGACCAATACTCGGCCGAGGATCTCGCAGCTCCTTGGCGGCTCCGCGGTCCAGCATGTGGTGAACGAGATGGATGACCCATGTGCAAAACTGGAAGTGTGCCATTGAAAGTCACACGAGCTTCCTCACTTGAGTTGAAATCATCAAGAATTTGGGGAGACCAGTCGGCTCGCAGCACATGAGTCACTCGAGCACTTTCCAGACCGAGGTGACCAGTTTCCTTTGTTCTCACCAGGTTTGGAATATTGAATATCCTTGATGTGGGGGAGATGGCATGTCTGTAGTCCCTTACTCTGCGAGCATGAAGTGCACAACTTGCTTTTGCGTGAGTTGAGGGTGGCACAGTTTCGATGGCATGTTCTTTTTGGGCTTGTGCAGGAATCATGAGCCCCCGGAAAACAATGCGTTTGGCGTTTTCCACTGTTTATATAACCTATTGCAGCTGTGACTGTAGGATGCAGAGCACAGAGATTTTTAGGCCACCATCCCTGTGCTGCGCCTGTCCTTCATGATGAATCTGACTGCTTGGCTTGCTGGCAGCTGTGCATGGGTCTTCGAGCATTACAAGACTCTCGGCACTCACGCAGACCGCGCAGACCGGGTCAAATTGGTAGGTAGTGGAAGGCTGAAACAGCCACACATCCCCAACCAAACCATGGTCTTTTCAAGGAGTGAATTCTTGCGCAACAACACAGGGCGCGGGGATTGGCAAGATTTCTTGGATTCTTGGATAAGCTGCGACTCCTCGAAGTCTCAGGATCAACTACTTGTTTCTCTTGGACATCTCTCCCGACCTGGAAGTCTCCGCCATGGCGCTGATGAACTATGCATCGCTGCAGACCGGGGTTTGGATCCTTCTGACCTTTTGCTTCCTAGCGGACGCTAGAACTGTGGATCGGACGTACCCACAGTGGCATTCGGACCGGTGAACACGCGGAGATCACAGGTCCCAGCACGAACCCCCCAAACATGAATGGCCGGCCCGGGGGGGCGGAAACTGACGAGGGCGAGCCTACTTCTCACAGCCATCAGAGCTAACTTCCAGTGTACGGTTGTGAGACCCCGGTGGGAAATTTGCTGTTGTGGCTTTCCCAACTAGCAGAAAAGATCAAGTGGGGCTTTCGGGTTGATCTCCCGCAACCTGTGCCCTCGGTTGCTCAAACTTGTGCACAGCATCGCAGCGGGGTCTTGTTGCCATTGTGCTGGGTCCATGCCAAAAGTCCTGGAGCCCAAAGGGCAAGGCCATATGAACATGATGAATAATTCGACAAGAAGTTGTGTTGTGAAGTAGAGTTCTTTTTTTGGTGCATCCTTTCTAGTAATATCATGCAATATCAAAACTCCGACGGCCGCGGGAGCTCCCACCGGGCGGGCCAAGGACATGAAGTTCGGCGCTGTGCTGGTGTTGCTCACTCGGGAGGACGGCATGATCCCATCGGGCGGGGGCGGCCGGGGGGCGTTCAGGATGCACGTGGCACGGGCGCAGCAGGCAAATGTCTGAGACGGCCGAGGTCAGGGCGATGCTTTAGGGGACTCCTTTGCCCGGGCAGTGGAGCATGGCTCCTTGAGGGACCTTTTGTTTTCAATGAAACTCAGAGGAACCCATGACCGAATTCAATCCTTGCCAAGCCTCCACCGCGAGGACTGGGGAAGCTAGGCGGACTTGGGCGTTGTCGACGGTCCGTCGACGCACAGGACTACGACTTCTCCTTAGCACATGTCTACGCTTGCGCCGTGCTCTTCGCCCAGTTTGCCATCTGCGTTTGGCACAGCACCCGTGCCCACCGGCACCTCTTTGTGCGCGGCTCGGAGTTGGGGATTCAAGGTGCTTTGTATGGGAATATTGTATATTATATGTGTGTATATATAGCGGTGGAAAGCGTTTGATAATTTGAGTTAACTGATGCGGCCAAGCGGTAGAGGAAAAGCAAAGTAGGAAGGTACCGGAGAGCATTTTGGGCGTGCTCGCGCGGATCTCCCCAGCTAGGTTGTGGTAGTTTCTGATGGCATGCTAAATTGAATCCAACAAGCAATGTCGTGATGAGAGAAAATTAGCATAGTGATGCACCTTCCAAAGTGCCCATTCTGGCCTTGCCAATGTTATTTCCGGACACCCGAGGCTTGCTCGTGCGGATCTTTTGCTTCTCCTGCTTGGGGGAAGTGAGCTTTGCCGAGAATGTCGTCGCCGATGTGCTGACTTCCCTTGGGCGACCCTTGAAGGACGTGGCTTACACTGTCTGTTACTTCAGGCGCCAACGGATGGGAGATGGGAGATGGGAGCGCCTGGGAGCTGGTGGTTGGAAAACAGGTGGAAAAGAGGGAGTCGCGGGTGGTCCCCTTAGAGAGATCATACATTTGCACACCCCAGTGTGAATCTCCGGCACCTGTCATCGAACTTTTTGGAATTGGAGATGGGATCACAAGTCCTTGCTGGGATTGAGCAAGGTAAGTGCTGTTCTGTCTTGCGTGAAGAGGGGTGGATAGGACATGGAGACACGAGTCCAAAGATCAGCGGGCCGTTTTCACCTTCTGCGAGATGTCGCCTAACTGTCCAAAACAGTTGTGGGAGTGTAGAGCTCCACTGATGTTTATATAGATATTGGCACGCTCGAATTGATCCAAAAGAGACCACCAGGAGTTCATCTCTGGTCGGGTGACGTCCAGCTCCTCTCGGAACAGGCATTGGCACACAGACCATGACCGGGAAGTGCGGCAAATCTGTAAGAGCTCCGCCTGGACGAGCCCCATGTTGCAGTTCTTGCTGCTCTTGCCCTTGCTCTTTCGGGTGGCGCAGTGCTTGCGGCGCCTCAAAGACAGCCCCCGCTCGGATGCCGTGAAGCACAGCTTGAACTGTGGGAAGCCACTGGGCAGGTTTGGAGGATGCTGGTCGCACAGTTAGAGTGATAAGTATGACGCACCAAGATGGGATTCTGGAGGGGCAGGTGCTGAGTGCCATTGTGTTGGGCGTACGGCCGGCACTTCGGGTTCTGAACGCGACGAACACGATCGGAAGTCGGCTCTTTAAAGATGGGCCACTTCACCAACCTTTAAAGATGGGTGATCATTGCTGATGGATACCTGCCACATTGTGTTTTGTTTGTGAAATTCTACATTTGGATGTGATAACTACCAACTAGCTTACGATGCCTTGAGGCGCCTGTGGGTGGGAGATGAGAGAGCTTTCGTGAAATTTTCTCAGGAGGACTGTCGCAAGAACATGTAGGAAACATGGGGTCGTCAATCTTGACACTAGTTCGTTTCCGATGTGCAGCCCCGCTTCGCTTTTTTTTCCCCAAACAGTTTACTGTCAGTGGTTCTCAATGCTTTAAAGAATGGTCGCCTTGGTGCTGGATGGTCTGGTCGGGTTCCCGGCCAGCTTGTCTCCCACTTCCTTTCATTTGTCTCCCAGTTCTTTTCATTTGTCTCCCAGTTCTTTTCATTTGTTTCCCCCCAGGCTGGGTGCTTGTGGTCGGGTTCCCGGCTCTCCTTTCATTTGTCTCCCAGTTCTTTTCACTTGTCTCCCAATTCTTTCATTTGTCTCCCAGGCTGGGTGCTTGTGGTCGGGTTCATTTGTCTCCCACTTCTTTTCATTTGCCTCTCAGGCTGGGTGCTTGTGGTGGGGTTCGGTTCCCGGCTGGCTTGTCTCCCACTTCCTTTCATTCTCGGCGCTTGTGCTCGGGTTCCCGGCCGGCTTGTCTCCCACTTCCTTGAATGTCTCTCCCACTTCTTTTCATTTGTCTCCAGGCTGGGTGCTTGTGGTCCGGTTCCCGGCTGGCTTGTCTCCCACTTCCTTGCATTTGTCTCCCATTTCCTTTTATTTGTCTCCCGCTTCTTTTGTCTCCCATGTTTGTCACTGCTAATTTCTGCCCTTTTCCGCTGGCCACGCAGCATTTCTATTCATGTCCCAGGTCTGTCACTGCTGGTGTCCGCCCTTCTCCGTTTGCAGGTCTGTCACTGGTGTGTCCTTGTGTATTGGCCATGAAGCATTTCTATTCATTTGTCTGCCAGGTCCGTCACTGCTGGTGCCATGTAGCATTCATTTGTTTCCCAGGTCCGTTACTGCTGCTGTCCGCTCTTTTCCGTTGGCCATGTAGCATTTCCATTCATTTGTCTCCCAGGTCTGTCACTGCTGGTGTCCGCCCTTTTCAGCATTTCTATTCATTAGTCTCCCAGGTGTGTCACTGTTGGTGTCCGCCCTTTTTCCGCTGGCGATGCAACATTTCTATTCATTTGTTTTCGAGGTCTGTCACTGCGTCCGCCCTTTTCCGCTGGCCATGCAGCATTTCTATTCATTTGTTTCCCGGGTCTGTCACTGGCGCTGCCGCCCTTTTCCGCTGGCCATGTAGCATTTCTATTCATTTATCTCCCATGTGACTTCTTTCTTTTTGTCTTTCAGGTTTGGTGCCTGCACTGCTGTTTTCTGCCCTGTCCGCTGGAACAGGTTCGCGTGTGAAAGGTTCTTGCTCCTTTGAAAGGGGTGCGTGACTGTCTCCGGGATTGCATTGCTGCCACACTGTGTAACTCTCTCAGCTTTGTTTTCCTTTTCGGGCAAGCGTTGGATGAATGACCGGATTGGATTTCGGCGGCGTGGCAGCGATCTCTCTGTTCAGTTGGGGCGGAGGGCATACGTCAGGCACCAAGAATCATCCTCATGCCTTTATTTCTTGTCCTCACGTGGTCAGCTGCCCGCTGATTGAGCAGCATGACCAGCATCATGTTCGCACTTGAAGAATAATTCCCCAAAAGGGTTACTGTTAGGGCTTCTCAATTCTTTCTTAAGATGAGTCCGCCCGCTCTGTACTGCTGTGTCCGTCTCTGCCTTGCAATCCTTTACGTTTGTCTCCCAGCTCTGGACGTCGCAAGCTCTAGTTTAACTGTTTGGGGTCTACGGTGGTGTAATTTTCACTTCCAGCGACAGGCCTCAAAGCCACTCAAAGTCAGTCGCATTGTGTAGCGTAGATGAGAAGAGTTCTAATGTATGGGTGTGCACTTCGAACCGAAAGTTAACCTTCCAAAGCGTGTGTGCATGTCACACCCCCCACAGAAGCCTGTGGCTCATATGCGAAAACACACTGAAGAATTCTACTATGGCAGATTCTCACATATCAGCCACAGGCGCCTGAAGGCGTTATGGGCAACTACCCATGATGATATAGAACTACTGCTAAGGTCTCATTTGCGTGCTTTGTCTGCCAGGTATTTGCTGGCGGTGCTGGTGAGCTTGCTGAACTCCATGAGCGTCCCACCTAGCGGATGGACAACCTTCCAGCTGAAATTGGTGCAAGTCTTCGGATGCTTGGCAACATGTGGCACCCTGTGGCACCCTGTTCTTGGCGTACTCGGGTGCGGTTTCATGTAAGAAGTGGGGAACAACTAAAGCAAGTCCTGAGAGAGTGCATGTTGTGCAGTATTTGGTGAGGATTTTGCACCCTCTTCTCCCCCGTCATCCAACAAAGATGGCAAGTTGGACCTTGAAAGCGAGACCCGTCAATAGAATCCCTTTTGAGAAGCCCCGGTTCCTCTTTCATCCTGCAGTCTAGAGATGCAAGATGGAACATTGGCATGTGACTACTGGAGTTTTGGTGTGTTTTTTCTTCGCTCCTCCTCATAGGCTACGTGGCGGCCACTGTGTATGCCACGGCCTGGGATCTCACTGTGGACTTTGGGCTCACACATTCCAACCGCCACTGGGCCAGTGCTGAGTTCCTCTCCAAGAGGTGCCATTTTGGGGCTATAAATTCTGGACCTGCACCCCTGCACAAACACACACACACAGATACAATATGACAAGTCATCAAAGACCAGTTCAACTGGGGCCCAGCACCCACCAACGTGCAAGCCATCACAGGGGATTTCATGGGTTTCAGCTGCTTTGTGGATGAGGGGATGGTTGAATGGGCAGGAGAAGTCTGAGTGACTTACACGTCATCCAAGCTGCAACTCAGAAGCCGAGACACCCTTTCCATGATGGAGGAGCTTGGTGGGAGGGATTTGAAAGAGAGCTTTCCACGAGTTTTGTTGTACAAGTAGGCCAAGGAGAAAGCAACCTGTCGCAGACATTTCAAGTCCTAACAGCGGATCATTGAAAGAACGACCATGACGCCCTGGAGAGTCAGCAGAATCACGGGCACTTGCTGCAATTGAGTCTTATAGGAGAAGCTCACAGCCCCTAGACGTGCTCTTCCCGGGGGCGTTGGTCAGAGGCACAAACCCCCACAGATACCAAGACTTTGTAGTTTTATGCGTCAGGACATCCTGCAAATTCCAGTGTTCCACCACTCCTTGCAGGGTCGAGAGCATCTCTCAAAGCTGCGAATGAAAAAGCAGCTCTCGACTGCCTCAATGCCTCAACGCCTCGCCCAGGCCGCCGCATCTACCCTAACGCCTCCTACTTGATCGCCGCGGCACTGGACACCTCCCTCCGGAGCACCTGGCTCCTGACACTGCAGCCGGACTGTCGACGGTACGTGGGCGCCAGCACCTTCAACAAGGAGCGACCCGGAACTCGGGGCAAGCGATCGGAGGCCCGTGCACTGATACGGACGCCCGGGAGTTTGAGGCACCTTTGTTTGTCGGGGTCCCTTTTTTTTGGGGGGGTGTCCCCGAAAAAAAGAAAAAGCAGGGGCCGTAGATGCATGCATAGCGCTCAAGATGAGGATGGACTTGAGGACATGCAGCTCAAACTGGATTCGTGGTGAACGAAGCCTGAACCCCCTAGTCTGTTCCCGTGTCATGACTGAGAGACCTTACATCATTTGGATCCCTAAGGCCCTAGGCGGGTCACCTGAGTTTAGCTTGGGACTGTAGCAAGCGCTGATGACCTGATGCATGGAGGTACTGTATATGTTTGGGCCGATAATGAAGAAAGCTGTGTTTCCACCAAGCAGTTCTATTTTGGGAGGAGGGGTGTGGGCCAGAATCAGAAGGGTATCAGTGTGGCCCCCACAGACTCCCACGACGCGTTCACCGGCCTCCGGCGTTTGGCAGGAGTGCTTCGCCTTTTTGATCAGCTTCCTGGCCTCTTGCCTTCGCATGGTCGATTTCTGCAATTTCAGGTCTGTCCAAATCAACCGAAGAATTTCGGGCATGGCACTCGCTTGTGCATGCGGAAAACGCCTCGCCTGTACACGTGCAAGTTGGAAGGATGAGAAGCCTCCGTGTGCGCGAGGAGGGTGCCAATGCAACGGTGCATACCTTTTGTGAGCCACCTGAGGCCAAAATTTAGTGGAGGAAAAACCAATCCCAACGTTGCGTACCTTTCGTGAGCCATCCGAGGGTTAACATTTAGAGGAAGAGGGTGCCATTCCAACGGCGGAGACCTTGTGTGAGCCACCCAAGGGGTCAAATTTAGAGGAGGAAAAAACCACTCCAACGGTGCAGACATTTTGTGAGCCACCCGAAGGCAACACTTAGAGGAGGAACGTGCCTTTCCAACAGCGCTTGCCTTTTGTGAGCTACCCGACATAGAAAAGAGGAGGAGGGTGCCATTCCAATGCAGTAACATGCCTGTGTGTGCAAGTGTTTCGCTGCGTGCGCAAGCGAGATCGTGTGGGTCAAGATTGGGGCCATAGATGGCACATCACATGCGCGTTGTTGGTGATTCCGATAGGCGCCTTTCAATAATGAAGGATACTTTCTTGACATTCAGGTGATTTTCTGCTATAAGCCAGTGCTTTTGAGGTTCGATATGGGTCGTTGGTTGGCGATTGACATCCAGACCAATTGAATCTGAACACACAATAGGGAGAGGAACAGAAAACGTGAATGGAAGATGAAGAGAAAAGCCTGTGTGTTGTGGTGCGGTTGTTTGTGCTCTTGAGTGTTCAGCATTTTCAAGGAACTCTTCCGACGAAGCATGTGGGCGACTGTGCGCATTGAGCACGAGCACCTCTCGACTCTTGTGCGATTTGCGTCAATTTTCCCGGGTTTTCAGCCACGCAGTTATAAAAACTGCACTGGCAATGGCCCACAACCTAGAAGCGACGGCCTCCAACCTAGAAGCGATGGCCTATATCTGGATTCTACTCGTAGTACTTATATAAATATTTGTGGTGATTCTGGGAGAGGCAGCATGCACAGGACACGACATCGCCTGGCCCAGGAACGCTGGACGCTTCCGGAGCGTTTGCTGGGTGCCGCCCTTGGAGCACCGTCGCTCGAAGGCACCGGTGACGGCGGCCGAGCGCTGGGAAATGCTGAAGCGACGGGCCACCGTGGTGGCGCTGGTGAACGACGAGTTGAAGCATCCGCAGCTGGGATGGCGGGTCGGGGCGGGTGCAGACCCGTGGGAGGACCCGTGGGCAGAAGGTTGGACGTGGCGGACTCGGAGTTTGCGCCTCATTTTTGGGTGTTTTTGGGGTACGAGAATGGGTACTCCTTGCATTTTGCTGGCTGTGATTTTTGGCTGGCGGAATCGGCCGCTGTGGTCATGTGTCCAGAGGAGTGGTCTGGCTGCGATCATGCTTCCAAGCCAACAGTGCTTTCCATCCCGTGGTAAGGCACACCCCCACGGTGCAGAACGCAGGTAGTTAGAACCCCGGAAGCCAGTGGAACCCAGAATGAAGGATCAACTTTGAAGGGGTCCAAGCATCAGATCTAGCAATACCTTCTGTATATATATATATATATGTATATTTATGCACATCCGTATTTGGTGTGTTTGGGTCCTGGTATGTTTGTAGAGCAGCCCTTAGCGTTGCCGACCATTTCCCCGGACCTTCTTCTTGAGATTGGAGTCCGGAGGGTGTGTTATTTCTTTTTAACGGTTGGTTCATGATGGTCACCGTATTCCACGCGGCCGTTGGGGCTTCCTGGTCGTTTTGAAGACCCGGGTAGAGTCTCAGGCCACTGTCCAAGTACAACAGCTGGGCCGCAGAGCCGTTGGCGCCGCGGCAGTTGGTTTTTGGGTGGGGAGAGCTTTGGACGTTGGGCTCCAAAGCAACATTTAGGGCGTGACAGCCTCGAAATAGACAGACAGAACATGGCAGAACACGATCCCAAGACTCTTCACGTTCTTTTGGGGTCCCTCAACTCCTCCGAACACTACAGTAAGGTTTGGTGCATGCCCCCTGCACTCAGAGATCATGAGACCCTTCATTTGATCGATTGTGATGGCAGCACACCGGTTCCCAAGGCTGATCAGCTAGATTCAGTTTGAGTCAGTAGCAAGAAGCTACTAGGTTGGAGGCCATCGCTACTAGGGTGGAGGCCATCGCTATTAGGTTGGAGGCCATTACTACTAGTAGCACGAGTCTCCTCACCTGATAGGTTTTAGAGTGCTGGTGCCACGGCGCCACGGCAGGGCTCGACTGGACTGGTCTTGACCAGTCCATCCGCACAATCCTCAGAAGACCCGACCCACCGTTGTTTCACTGGAACTGGACATTAGTGGGGCACCAGTGACATCAACATCTGGTTTCCCTCCAGGCGGTAAAATCGTCGATTTTGCTCATCCACTTCGAATGGAAGCACTTTTTCTTGTGTCTCAGGTTGGTGGGCTTTGCTCTCCCAGGTCGTTGTCCCAGTTGAGGCGTGCACGGGGGAACCGAAAGCACCCTGGTGTGGGACATCCTGAGGGTTGACCGTCAAATGTGATCTTCGGTCGTCGATGAGTTCAATGGGGTGGGAAGAAGGATGAAGAATATTTACCGCGGTCATTTCCAAAAGAAGCTGTCAGATGGGTTGGAAGAATTCCCGTGGTGGGTGGTCTGCAAGAATAGGTGTAGTACTACTTGACCCAACGAAGTGAGTGACTGAGCGGCCCACTTACAGATTTTCGTGGCGAGTTGATGTAGCCCTGTGCCGCACCTGCTCTGTCATACGTTCTTGGGCGCTACGGCGCCACCCAACGACCCGCTTTAAGACCCTCTTGCATCGTGGCAGGAACGACTCGCCCGAGGAGGATCTGACTCAAAGGACACAGGGACGCGGGTGGATGGATCTCGACTGTTGGAAGAGAACCACCGGAGACAGGTCAGCTTTAAACAAATGCTGTTTGTCTGAGCGTGATGCCGCGACCAGTAATCGAAGTCAGTGGTGAAACACCGGAGAAATTTGACAATGGCTCAAAGGCAGCACAGACCATTTTACCTGCATTATTTCCATTGGGGTGCACTATGTTGTGTTTGAGCCAGAGGCATGTCATGTCATGTGAATGTGGAGGATGCTCCTGTTCCTCCTCCATCAAATGTACGCACATGGCTCAGGGGCAAACCAGTTGAGAGCTTGGTGAGTTGTACGCCGCTTGTATATCTATAAAATGTTTGTGTTTCACGTGCTAACACCAATTCTGTCGGATCAGAAACCTTCTTTTCTCAAGACCTCGATGGTCTAAACCATCGATGGTCGATGGAACCTTCTTTTAGTCCAACTCTTTGGCGGCTTTTCTCCGGTCAGGAGCCATATCCATCGGCGACGCAGCTTCCAATGAGGCTCCGATTCCTGGTGCACGGGTAGGGAGCAGAATCAAGGCTGCCAGCAAGTGGACACCCCATGGAATAGAATCGTTGGAGTATTGGTGATCATCCGTGGTGCTCCTGTGCGCTAGTTCAACTTGGCGACAGGGATGTCGCTCCTGTGCGCTGGTCGATTGTGACATCCTTTCATCCGTTGGGACGCCGAAGGCGTCCTGCACCACCTGGGGGTTTCTCGTGTTGCTTCGAATTCTCGGAGTCCGACTAGGATCACCTGGGGGTTTCTCATTCCTGAATTCGATGAAATGGACCCATGAACGACCCACGAACGAGGCTGGTTGAATTACTTTTCACCCCTACAGATTTTGATTTACATTAGTCTAGTGTTTGTTTCGTACACTCCAATCCTGTAGCCGTTTTTTTTTTTGGCGAGCTTGTTGATCTAGACCCGTGCCATTCCCTTTTTCGGGTTCTTTCCCTCGCTAGCTTGGCACCCGAAAAAAAACGTAGCGACTCTTTCGCTGCAGGCAGCTCGCTGGGACCGGTGGCTGGGCTTGGAGACGGTCCCAGCTTCGTTGGGTCTTCGCTCAGCCGCGGTCGGTGGAACCGCTGCACGTAGGGCGTCCTGGAAGCCGGTCGACCCGGAAGGTGGAAGGGGAAGGTGATGTGCAGCCCCTGGGCCAAGAAGAATGGCCTGGGCATGCTTCGGCTGGATCAAGCCAAAGCAAGCTTTTGTGTCCTTGGTTGTGCCATTCATCAGTTGAATCTACTGTAGTTTGATTGCTTCCCTTCCCTTCCATTTGGGGACACCGGCGGTTTGTGATGTGTGGCAGTTTTCCCGATACTCAGAGACACCCATCAGCCAGATGGACTCTGAGATAGTTGTGATCTCGCTTGGATGATCTCAGCCTGTGGGGCTGGGCCAGCATGCCACCTTGTCGTGCTGTTGAAGAAGCATGTTTGTGGAAAACATTTGGGCTCACGGGCTCACCCATTCCGACCCCAGAAAGACTCAAGGTGCTTGGGGATTTCGTCTGAGATCATCCAAGCCCTGGCCTTGAAACATGTGAGCGCTGGCCTGTTTCGATGGCCTTCAAACCCCTTCCAGCTGGCTGCGACTTGAGTCGCAGGCGCTCGTGAGAAGAGACAAAAAGTGAGACTGTGACTACTTGTCAGCCCGAAGCTGGCCGAGACGCGGGCAGGACCCGCGCCAAGAACGAGAGCGAAACCAAAGGCAGGGCGGTTTGCTGCGACTTTCGGGGGCGATCTTGGCCTTTGCTTTTTGCGGCCGCCAGAACCAAGAGTGCACTGCCTGCGCGAGGGCGTACCAACTGGAGGATGATTCACCTCTCAAAGCTGCCGTCCATATCGTCGCCGATGGTGCGAGCGTGTGCGAGCGTTGCGAAACGCCCCCCCCCCCCCGACCGACCGGTCCAACGACGAGGCGCGTCCTCGGCGTCCACCGCCCCACCCGCCACGGGCGCCACGGGGATCGGAGAGGCCGGTGCTTCGGGCTGCGGGGTGGGTGGAGAGCACCGAGGGGATGGGGTGCTCAGTGAAAGATACAGCCGGTATAGCGGTATAGCACATGGTTTTGGTGAGTGATGTGTGTTTCTTTCTCGAAGCACGCTGTTGATCAGTGTAAATATATAGTTGTTGCCCTGTGGCGTGAAATCTGTCAGCATGTTCGATTCACCAAGAGTTGTTCCCTGAACGAAGGCCACGTCCAACAAGAAGGCCAAAGCCCCCAAAGCAGAGGCTGGGCCCAAGCGAAAGGTCCGAAAGAGGAAGTGACCTGCGCCAGCGGCCTCAAAAAAGGCGCATGCTCAATGATGGATTCGGAGCAAAGCCGGTGTGGATTGTGGGGACTCACTGCCTTCGGCTTTGACACGGTCACCTGGTCGGTCTGACCGGGGTTTTGGAGGGTTTGGTGGGTCCGTGGGTCCGCCAGTTGCCGACAGAAGCTTGGGCCACGTTGGTTTTGGGTCACACGGTGTTTGCTATGACATGCAAGCCTCACAAGTTACAAGCGATTCCAATGGCCACTGTAAGGCGACAGGTCTTCAGCGTGTCCGCCCCATATTGGAAGACCTGCATGTGAAGTGCTGTTTCGAGATGCCCGTTGGGCTGCGGTGGTCTGCTGATCTTTTTGGCTCGGACGAGCCACTCGATCCCGGCATTCTGTAGTAAGACATGGATCCGGCTGTTCTCATTCTTTTCGTTCAGAAAGGCGTCGGCACTTTGGAGGTTATGTGCTTTTACCAGTCCTGACCTTTAAAACTCTCAAGCTTTTCTTGTTTCTTTTTCCTCCCTAGTTTTCCCCACATTCACTGTGCCCTCAATGGAGGAGGATCCTACACCACGCCATGACGCGCTGGCTGTTGCGTCCGCTGAAGCGTCCGCTGAAGCGTCTACTGACGCGCCCAAACCTGCGCGGATGCGGCCCTCGAAGCGGGGTGAATTACCTGGGCCTGCGGGGCTTCCGGGCTTCTGCCGGCAGAAGCACTTCAACCGGGCAGCCAACGCTTATGTGGTGCCCTTGTGGGAGGTGTCCTCCAGTTGGCTGCCAGAGGAGTTGAAGCCATATGAGGTGCTGGGGGTGTGCGTGGTGTGCATGTGATGTAGAGTGAAGCAGTGGCTGACACATCGGAAACACTTGCCAATTACTTGCCGAAGGTATCCGAATGTCACTTGGATCGAGAAGAAGGTAAGCCTTGAGGGGTCTAAGTCTCGAACTTTAAGGTCCTAGCTAGTGCTAGCTGCTAGTTTTGATGACGCAAGCCCACCAGATACTCTGGCTGAGCGGCAATGGCAGTGGTGTGCCACTCGTGACTCACGCATTTGAGGGAGATTGTTTTCCGGCTTCCCCCCGCACAGACTTCCCGTCAGCAACACTGCTTCGCGTCGATCGCCAGGTGGCTCGAAAACGTGAGAGCTTTTCCCCTGAGAAGCGGCGGCCGAATGGCGAGAACGGCGCGAGAAACGAAGACGACGAAGATAGCGAGGACGAAGAACTCCTTGAGGACTGAGAAAGGATCCTGGAGAATGAGTGACATTTGGGGGAACTGTCTTATATTTTTGGGTGGGGGGGGCAAAGGCGCCTAAGGATTTACCGTACCTTGTGGCGGTAAGTGGCCAATTGAATCACACCAAAGTGGTTGTTAGTGGAGGAACTGCTGGTGCTTCCACAGGCCTTCTCATGAGAGACGTGCCACTCAGTGCCCAGAGCTGCTACAGTGCCCGGCAGTTCGACTCAACTCGCTGCGGGGCCCTGGATCTGATTTTTGGGATATGCACAGGTGAAGCATTGACATATATTGACATTGATGACCCGATGTTCATTGGTCGCACCAACAAATTATGGCCTATTTGTTTGTTTGTTTTGTGGGGGTTCATGTCATGATTGCAATGGATGCTGCATGCAAGACTGCGCTCCAAGGAAACATTCACAGATCTCCCCCATTCTCCGAAGTTTGTGAGGACCCGACCGAGAGCGAGCAGAGTGAGGTCGCTTGGGAGGGCCCACTGGGCGGTAGCAGCCGTGCCTGGTTCCGGGGCGTGGTGGATACTGCGCTGGTCCTTCTCCGCCGGCTGCAGGCAGCTGCAGACCGAAGGAAACGCGAGACCCAGCCACCACCAAGGGACGGCGAATGCACGCGCTTCCATCACCTGGGCGAGCACTCTCGGCCCAGAGGGGAGACACCTTTGGGCTGAACTCCGAGCCCCTTCACCCAATGGAAATTGCTTCCTTTCAGTACCCATCTTGCTAGGCCTGCGTGCTCATGAGCTCGGCACACCCAAACGAAAAAGTCCCCAATGGAGAGCCACACGCCACCCCAGGCGAAATGGACATGTGTTTTTTTCAGCAGCTGGGTCCGTGCCCGCGGGGTGTTTGTTTGTTTTCTGGACTGTAGGGCCTTCTTGTAAAGAAAGCAACCATCGAACCATTGTATTCTTGACTTCGATCCCCACAAGAATGCCAGCCAGCCACGGATTTCTCCCACGGACTTCGATCACGTGAAAACCCCCAGGGCGACGCCGGCACCTACGCTGTGGGCGTCTCGGCGGCCTTGATCCCTCCAGAGACGGTGGGCGAGGGCAACGATGCCTCGATGGACCGGTGCCTGGCACAGGTCTGTCGGTTCCTTGGAGGAAGGAGAGGACCGCAGAGCGGTCCTTTTGGGGTGGAAAGACCAAACGTTCTTTTTATTTCTTTTTGGTAACAAACGAGGTAAGCTAGGATCTACTAAGGTAAGCTGCTGAGGTCGGGCTTTTTGACCCCCAGGAAGGACGCGCGGTGGGAGAAAACATGATAGATGGGTTTGCTTGAGCATGTTTATGGCGCTGTAGCGCGGTGTACATTTTCACATGTTTGCATTGACATTCTTGGATTCGACACTATGAACACTATGCGTTCTTTTTTTTTGGGGGGGTGGGGTGGATTGCAAGTGAAGCTTTTCTTATTCCTCTTCTCTTTCAGCGATCCTTCTTTGCCACGTGTCCAGGACTAGAAGTAGGAAGTGGTAGGCCAGAAGTATGAACAGTATGGTGCAATGTGACGCACTTAGAGGCGAACGTTAACATCCCAACCTCCCACCCCACCCCACCCCCACCCAAAGTAGGCAACGTAGCGTAGAAGTGGTAACAAGAAAAGCAAGGGGCCGATGAGCACTTGTCCCCCAAAGATAGACCACATGCGAGAAAAGCCATTAAGAATGTGAGAAACCACACGGCGGAGCAGGTCCAACTGCTAGGCTAGGATGCAGAAACCTGAGCCTTACTGACTTGGTTTCCTAGATCTATATTTGGAACCTTGGACCTTCTGCGGTGATCTTTGGTGTTTGGCCCCCAATCATCAGGGGTACGACCAGGTGGGAGGTATGAGACGGGGGAAGCGGGTCGAAGCAGGTCGAAGCGGGTCGAAGCGGTCATGTGACCGTGCACATGTGCCGGTTTCGTGGGGAGGTCGAGCAGCCGAGCACCCCTGCAGCAATCCACTACTGAGCAAACCCTAGCAAGCCCGATTTGGAGGACCTCAGGCACCAGAGTTCGCACCATGAAGGATTTGTATGGATTTTGTTCCTATGATTTCCCATGGTTGACTGCCTTGGCCCCATATGCCACTTCCGGATGTCCTGCCCTGTCCCACCCAGGTTACGTGAGCCCCGCTGGGCGGTGATGGCGCTTCGTAGTGGACACTTTGCCGGCGCCATCTTCCATGGCCAGGAGGGCGGTTTTTCACCATGTGGGTTGTGTGAAACCACGGGGCGTATCACTCAACCCCACACCCCAGGGGTTGAGGAGTTGTAGAGACTTTTGACGCAAAGAATCTAAGATTGGAAAGAAGAGCTCGAGTCGATTTTTTTCCGAAACTTACTAAATGACTTGCTAGCATCCAGGACGCTTTTTCTCGCTCCTTTCAGGAGTCAATCATCCACAAGGCGCTCCACAGATACACGGTGCGCGCCAAGGCGGGCGGAGCGCAAAGTGCCTGCGACGGCGGGAAGAAGGTGAAGAGCGTCGGCTCCTCGCGGCTCGGAGAGGTGGTGCCGCGCAGTCGGCTGTGTGCTCGGCTGGCGCTGCGGGGAGTCCTCTTGTCCTCTTGATGTTCTCAGATGGGCTGAAGGGGGATGGACTGGAGGCATGAACAAGGGGGAGTTCTGTCGGCTGGTCGGGCCGAAGAACGGTTCCAGTAATTGGTACCGGTTCAAAAAGGTGGATAGCCCCTGAGGGTCTAACGCGGCTGTCCCAGGCTATGTTTGCTGCAGGTGCTCTCTACTCCAGATTTTCAGTAAATCAACGAACCAACTCCTTGGTAAATTAAGATGATATTTTCCAAGGATAACATGATGTCCAACACAATCGATTTCTTCCCCGAGAAGGATGCCCAGCCCTAGCCTATCAGCCCACTGCAAAGCAAGGTTGAAAGCCAGTTAGTTTGAGCGACTATTTAGAACCATCATTTGATCATTTCATATCCTGGAACTTCGCGTCACCCTTTTCAGACAAAGGCACTCGCCCAACGAATGCTGGGGCTACCCGATCTTCATTGAGAAAGAGATTCAGGGGGACTTCCCGAACTTCCCAACACTTTGCCATGTGCTCTTGAACACCGCTCCCGAACTTTTCGCCGACGGGCCAAACAAGAAACAGCTGCGGAAAACGAGGAGGGCCAAAGCTTTCCTCCCACGGTTCTCGTTCCCTCCCAAGGCTCCGCCGCCACGGGGAGCAACGCTTGGCCGAGGACATCAAGGAGCGCAGCTCCGCGGAGCGCGGGCCGCATGCGGCTAGGGGCTGGGCGGCTCGTCCAAAGGCAGTCCATCTACACAGCATTGGAAGGAACATGCTGAGTTACCGCCTTTCTTGATGTATTCCATTGGGGGGGCATCACATGGCATCACCTTCGTTTGATTTGCACCAGTTACCTCTGAAAGAACTGCCACATGAAACAACATTTTTCGGGTCTATGCAAGATGAGAGATAAAAAAAGATGAGGCGGTGATCTGTTCCATTTATATAGAGCCTCGTACCCTGATTGGACTTGCTTCGGACCCTGCCAATAGAACAATTACCAGCAGTCACAAAGGGGTGCTTAATGGAGGTTAGGGGTGCCCATTATCCACTCACTTGGGGATCAAACACCACCCCCTTTGTGACTCCTGGTAGATGAACATCCATCGGTTTCCTACTCATTTGGAGATCTACACCTCCGAAAGGCAACATCAAAGCTGAAGAGATCTTGACCCTAAGGCCCTAAGACCTTGAGTGCAGCATTCCAGGTTCTCTCCCCGCCAGATCGGACCACGCCCGCCTGGAAGAGAAAACCCAACCGCCCCCTCTACAGCGGTCGAAGGAGCTGCTGACGGTGAAATGGGCCGAAGAGCTGAGTGCCTGCGAGTTGATCTTGGTCTCAGCAGCCTGCCAGCGGATCGCAAATCTCGGGTCTCAGGTGTGTTTTTTTTGTTGGGGAGTGGGGGCTCCGAACTGGGGATTAGGTGGATAAAAGAGAAGAACACTACGTCATTTGGATGTGGCCATCCTGAAGGAGATAGAGAATTTGGACGTGGCAGATGCCGACAGGAATCGTCGAAGAATCCACTGGCAGAATCATGGTTTGTTGTACCAAAGGGATGCCTAAACCCTAAACCCAGGTTGGGAGTTTCGGTGCCCCTTTCCGGCGGTCTCTGCGGTGCCTAAGGTCTCGAAGCGGATGAAGTCCACGCTGCTGGGCACTGAGAAGGAACCCTTCTTGCCGGAGCCGCACCGGCGCCCTGATGGAACGGACCGATGTCGGGCCAGGTGTGGTCCCGATGGCTTAGGTGCTGGGTGCGACAACGGCAGTTTTTCGAAGCACCAAGCAGATCCCGAGCCCCCTTCCATCATTTGATCCGATGGGGATGGAACGGACTCGTGCGGGGACGGAAGAGGTTTTCGATGTCGTCGCATGCCATTTCGGTTCGTCGCATGCCTTGTCTTTTGACCATCGCTATGGTTCTTGATTTCTCAAGAATTGGTTTGGAACGAATGGCTTTCCATTCCAATGTGCGGACGTATATAGATGTTTCAGGGCAATTTCACAATTCTCTCCTGTTAGGCGCCTAGGCCTAGGTCGAGGTGAATGTACCAAGTTTGGGCGGCTTCGAGTTTTGCTCCCTAAAAATTCCGTGAGCCCGGGAGCAGAGGGAAGCCTGGCCACTCCCGGGCTGGCCACTCCTCCATTTGGAAATCCTCATCCAATCTATCCCTGGGTGTGAGGTCACCGCCCTTTCTGGGGGGTTCTCTTTGTGCAGAATCCCGTTCAACGATGCTTCCACCAACTTGCTGGGCACGGGACAGCTCCCCACAACTGGAGATGCTGAGGATCCGGAAGCTGCCCTTCATGATGGGGAAACCCACCTTTGAGGCTGTCAAGTCTGCCTACTTCAGGGCAGCCAGCCTGGTCTTCTGCGAGGAGAAGGAGCCCCAGTCTTTTTGTTTCTGACTTCTATTATGTATGTAGTTGGAGAAGCTTCAAACTTTCCAGAATCCTAACCTGAGTAAATGCACTCCCCTACCCTTGCCAAAGCCTCCACTATGAAGCCTTTCTCGAGGGAATTGAAGCATGTCGAGGCCATCTCCGCTTCCGACTCTCCAGGTGGCGGAGGTCATGTCAGCCCGCTTCAACCCCCGGGAAGAGCCCGAGAAGCCCTCGAAACTGGAGAAGCCGCCTGAGAAGGTGCCAGAGAAAGAGCCGGAGGCGGCGCCGGAGCCGGTGAAGTACTGTGAAGAGGAGGAGCTATGCGGTGCCAATGGTGAGTCGAAGTGCCATATTTATTCATTATACTGTAAGTTATAAGTGAGGTGATGATAGTGGTGGCTCCCATCCAGGGCCTCGGTACCCAAAAATCACTCATATAACTCATATACAACTTGACCCATTTGTTCAGAGTTGATGAGCGAAGGCGGCTGTGAATTGAAGAGCTGTGCTGAAGCTGGTCCTCACCACATGGTAGCTAACTATATGTCGGTTCTTGGTTGTGGCCCCTGACAGTTGCCCAGATCTGTGTTTCTTTCCCTGACGCCATGCCACTCACAGTTATCTCAAGTGGCAAATCTTGAGATAATGTCCCAAGTGGCAAGCTACTTGAAGCTCTCGGCCTCAGTCTGCACCGTTTGAAACTCACTCCACCAAGACTCCAAGGCCCTTGGTTTCGCCCGCTCCCTTGGGCCCATAGGATCCCCTCTTCACTGCGCTTCATGCGGCGGCGCTCGCAGATGACGTCGATCAGATCTGGGAGGAGTTGGAAGAGGGCGGCGACCCGACGGCGCGCGACAGCAAGGGCCGTGGCTGGGCTGTGGTTTGGAATTCTGTTGTTCCACCCCTACTTGGGAATGGCAACAACCCTCATTGGACTTATGTTTTTGGAGGATTGCTTGAGTCATGCAGGTGTGGCCTACTACCTCTGCAGCAGTGCGGGTGCGCGCGAGGCCTTCCGCCGGTGGCGCGGGCAGAACGAAGAGGCCTGGGAGTGGGAGAAGGCGCAGGTGCCGGAGGGCATCACCGAGGCCTCGGAGCAACGGAAGAGAGAAAAGGAGAAGGAGACGGGGGTGACAGGAAGCTTTCGATGTCATGTGGCCTCTTGAGGACCATACAACCCCACTTGAATTGAACATCCTTTGAAAATAAGGGTGGGTTATTAAGAGTCTACATTAGATGTCATGCGATGCAAAATTCCAATGCAATTTGAGGGCACAAGCAAGTTCTGAAGGCAGCATGGGGCATGCTTCTGTCATGTTGAGACCACCATGAACTGCTTGAAGTGTCTGTCGAGAAGCAGTGAATCCTTGACACTGGGAGGAGAAGAAGAAGAAACAAAAAGAGAAGCAAAAGGCCAACAAAGCAAAAGCCAAGGAGGAGGAAGAAGAGCGATTGCGCAAGGAAGCAGAGGAGAAGACCACCCCAAGTCTTTTTAATGCACGCAGGTGTATGTATATAGATACTTATAGATATATATATATATATATTATGCATTGCTGAACTAGGGAGGAAACACTCCCAACCAGTAAGGAAGTCAAAATTAGAAGGTTCTCCAATCGAGATTGGTGTAAGTGTTTGATCAGATAGGAGACGGTACTCCTGCACAGTTGCGAGATGTTTGAGCGTTCCACCCCAAGAACTCATGGAAGACCCTGCAAGTTCTTGGAGTTAAGACAGGGGAAACTCTTCATTTGGCACTTGTTTTTGGCATTTTGCCAGGGGGATCGGGCCCAGTTGGCCCCAGACACATCTTACCCTCGGCTTCGCGCTGCCGTTACAGGAGAAGCGGCAACTCGAGGAGGCTCGGGTCAAATGTGACAAGTGCCAAACGCCCATCACGGCCAAACCCTTCTCCCGGTTGCCTGGAAGCACGTGAAGAATCCAAAGGATGCGGGACATTTGCACCGAAGGGTGCTGAAACCTGTTGCGCTTGGAAGACGGTCAGTTTGTTATCCAGTAGTTGGTTCGTCGGCCCCTGCAGGGCCCTCCAGGGTAAGTGAAGGCATCCAAGAGAACCAAAACGCTGGGCATCTCCAAGAAACAAAGGGCAGGATGTCTATAGGGTAGGGCTTTGGAAAGGTCTAGACGGTCGCCGAAACAATGCAACGCCAGCTTGTTGGCATGATTGTGTGCTCAATTTTGTGGGATCATTGTGGGTAGTGTATGGTAGTTCTTCTTTTTCCTGACACTGTACGCCCCCGAAAGTACCATCTTCACCCGAACTTGGGCGTGGATGTCCGTCCCTGAGGCTCAACTACCTCTACTGCTCCTTTGACTGCTCCAACCAACACCGCCGCGACTTGCAAGCCGAAGCGGCCCTGAAACGCCTGGGCTAATGGCTGAGCCATAGGCTTTTTCACGTGTACAGACATCGCAGAAAGGCGGAGCAAGAGAGAACGATATTCTCTCAACTTTTTTCACTCTGGTGTGTTCTGGCAAAATTCCGAAACCACACCGTTCAAAACCTGTTAAACGGACATCCTCTTGCAGGTTCCTTTTGGCATCTTTGCCGAGCTGTAGGCCAGATAAGGAGATGCAATGACTGATGGTGCAGTTCTTGGTCCTTCTTGCTGGAGCTTGCCAAGGCTACCTTCGGCGTTGTGGCGCGTTGTCCGGACAGTGCCACGATCCGTTGTGGATCGATGGGCAGAAGGCCGCGCCGGTGTGAACCGCCGCGGAAATGGGGCGAAAAGGTGCGACAAGAGCTGAAGAGAGATTCAACATGATTCAACCAGGTGAGTTGCAGCCCAGAGGTGGACCTGGACCCGTGGCGGACCTGGCGGATCATCCAAGGGTTCTGTTTTTTGGGGCAGGCCGACTAGGCCGACTAGGCCGCTTGGGCTTTCGTCGTTTCGGAGAACGAACCCCGTTTACTACCGGCTGGTTTGGTGTTTAGCAGTCACGTTGGACCTTGATGATTTTCAACCCTCCCTTCAGGCTGGATACTAGGTTTGTATGGGGAGGTCTTGCTCGGCCTGGACTATCAGCATTCACCTGTCTTGCTCCGTGGTGGAGCCTTGACATGCCTTGGACTGCTGGATGGTCAGTGCTGTGTGGCTCAAATGTTAGGTTCTTCCCGGGCACCAGGGGCCCGGTCAGGAGCTCAAAGTGCTGATTTCATGGGGTTGAAGATGGTTGAAGTAAGAAAGAACTAGCAGAGTTTCCACCCGAATCCCGAATCAGTGGTGGTTGTCCTGTAGCTGTGCATTTACATCATTCAACCATCAAACTCAAGACCCTACGACTCTTGCAATACTGGCGAGTTGATGTCGTCCATAGTCGGAAGTCGGGAGTGTTTTGATTCACTTTGCTTGACCCATTATATATGACTTTCTATTTCTGAGTGTTGCTCACTGAGCAGCACATTTTATCAAATTTTTGAGGGTCTGAGGCTCTGAGGGGTCCATTCCACACGGCGCCAGGTCCATTTCCGGTTCACATGGAGTTCTTTTGTTCGCTTGCCATCTTTCCACATCTTGCCATCGCCTCAGCTGCCACTCGCGAGCTAGCAGGGGTTCCGGATCATCGCAGGGACATGCGTGGGGGGCACTGGCTCGACAGCTTGAAGCTCCCTTCTACAGAGGGACGACCCTCTGTGACGAAGGGGGTGCTGAGCAGGGAACGGCCATGCATCTTCCTTCGGGCCGCTAGTCACTGCGAGGGGGTTCGGCATGATCTTTCCTTCGAAGACTCCTCATGCCGCATGGTCACGGTCTTCGGGAATGATACCAGCTTGCCATGAAGGTACCGCAGTGGGGCATGCTTTCAGAGATCCGGCCCCTTGAATTCCAACCCCGGTGGCCGGGCAGTGCTTTCGATCGGACTACTGTAGAGATTGATGAGATTCAGCCACCCTGCAACCGACCAAGCTTAAGCAGTTTAAGCACTTTTAAGGAATCCAACAGCCCTTGGTGTCAAGGGAAGGCCATGGAAGGCCCACCATGAACCGCTATTTTGAGCAGGTGCTGGCCGTCTCCCATGACACCCATGCTTATGTGAATGTGGGTGGCTGCTTGGCTGGAGCGGGTCGTGGAGAAGAAGGAGTCGGGAACATATGTGCAAGAATGAGGGTTCCATGCACCAACAATGGCATGATGCATGGGCATTCTATGGATTTCTAGAAGGCTTTTTTCTTCTATGAGCCTGCGCGTAGTGAATTTGGTGGCCACTACAGATCTTTAGAGCACCTTGGGCGTGGCAAGTAATGAGGATCGCGGAGGTAGCGCATGATCGACTGCTCCTAGAAGCTGGAGTGAGCAACCGACACTTTTATGCCTCACCTCCATCTTAGCCCTCCAAAACCAACCTTTGATGCTTCATAGTTCGTCCTTCCTGGCAGTCTGGCTCACACGTTTGTGTTAGATGTGGCCAAGATGAAACAACAATCAGACAAAGGTGTTTGCCCATGTGTATTGGGAGCCAGGCAGCCCAGGGGATTGGAAGCCTCCAACATGAGATCCCTGGCCAGCAACCTTTTCAAGTTAAACTGAGTGGTGAGGTCAATTGCAAACTTGCCTTGAATTGTTATTGTTATTGTTATATATATATATACCTTATATTATATCCCTACCGAGTGCCAGGAGCGAAACAAGAACTCACTACCAACAGTCTGCATAGTATAGAACCCACTGTATGGTTTTCTGTGAGAGGGTGCCAGTTCTCCATGATGGTTGAGATTTCCTTGGCCAAACAGATTGGCGCCAAGGCTCTGTGAGTTTGTCACCCTCGCCGACCATGAGACCTCAGCATCTCGAGGATTACATCTTGTACCTCCCTCGGAAGTCAATGAGCAGTTGTTTGAGTCGTTTTTTGTGGATTTTTCTGGGAGTTTAGTCTAGCACCGCGTTGCTTTCTTCCAGTACCAGGGGGTACGTAATAGGTTTATGATTTTAAGAAAGCTATTTTTTCTTAAAACATGCACAATTGTTAGAAACCAAGGGAAGAAAGGAACCTAGAGTAGAGACATATATTTTACCTCGAGTGATCCCCACCCTGGAAGAAGGCAGGACACATGTATTGACAGACTATCCTAGCAAATGCTGCCTGACATGTGCACTGATGCAGTGTTCTGACATTTGTGCTGGCATCATGCTTTTTAAACATGTGTTGTGACACACGGTCCGACTTCCTGCCATTTGTTACGCGTAGTGTTCCGGCACGTGTTCTGACATTTGTTCTGATATGTGCTGACATGCGGTCTGACATGTGTTCTGTCACGAATTCTGGACGTTTGTTCTGGTATCAGGTCTGGCAAGTGCTCGGACGCTTGTTCACATGTGTTCTGGCATGCATTCTGACATTTTTTCTGGCTTTGGCACTTGCTCAGATATGTGTTCTGGCACAAGTCTGAGTCTTAGGGCGCGCCACGCTGCAGCCGCAGCCGACACACATCCGGAGCACACCATACCAAAGTCAGACCCGAGAAGCCGGAGGAGAGGGCGGTTGAGGAGGAGCGAGGAAGGAAAGAAGGAAGGAGGGAAAGGACGGGAAAGGACGGGAAGGGACGGGACGGGGAAGTTCGAGAGAACTAAGCCTAGAGTCGTGACGGGTGGGGAAACTGAGTTGAAAACATGAATAGATTGGGTTTGTCCCATTACCTGTAACAGTCAGTAAGCAATTATATATCACTATTTTTGAACAAGGCCTGCAACTGAACCATCATCATCCACTGTTACAGGTATTAGGATAGACCCAATGAATAGATATGACATGGGAAGCATGAGCAGCCAGCTTTCCCGGGCAGGAACAATGTTTCCAAGCATGGGTTCTGGAAGGTGGCTGGAAGACCAATGGCCAGGTACCAAGCAAAACATTGGGGGCCACTAGGTCGCTCAGACCTTAGGCAGGATTAGCCTAGCGACAAGGTCTCGGTCTAGGCATGAAACAAGACCACTGAAGGGCAGGAGTGTTGACTTTATGTTCGTATCATATTTTTTTAAAACCAACTTCACTCTGATTTCGTTTTGTTTGCCTAACTTTTAACGTTATTGCTCTGTTTTGCTATGTGACAACGTTTGGATACCTTTTAGTCCTTTTTTTAATATCATGAGTTTCTTTGTCAAAAGTCATGCACATCAGTATATAACATTCTAGATTGTCTTTGTCATTTTCCTAGTTGTCTTCCAGGCCTGCTCAGAATCCTACTTGTCAAAAGTTCCTGAAGGGTACACACTGTAGTACACACGTTGTTACGTTTCTTGTTTTTCTCTTGCCAGTTGTGGGTGAGTGCGTGAATTGTGGGTGAGTGGATGAAAACTGTTCATGACATAGGAGGACAACCTGCAAGTAGAATGCTGGATCGGTGGTAAGCGTTGGACACACTTTGTCACAGGGTCGGGGCGCAACCCAGGTACTCGAAAGATGACTCCTCAGAGAACACTCAGGCAGACTTGGCCCATGGCCCAAAGCACACATGGCGGGCACTTCTCATGAACACTTTTTGAAGGAAAGGCCCAAAATTCTAATTAAATTCTAATTGAATTTTAATTCTAATTCTATTTATTTCTTCTTCCTAGTAACTTCTAGTTACTAATAACTTCTAGTTACTAATAGAAATGCCAGGAGCTACTAGTAGCTTCTTGCTCCTAGTAGCGGTGCCAGGAGTGCAGGATGTGGTCCAACCGTTTTCCCTGTCCGAGGCCATCAAGGACCTCACGCAGACGGTGGACGATGACTTTGTGGGGGTCCTCCCGAATCCCAAGGAGGAATTGGAGGCGGCCAGACAAAGATTGAACATCAAGCCGGTCCCAGGCCCCCCAGGCTCCATCGTCACCGGGCTTTTTGGGACGCCCAGCAGCAGATGGTGTGGCGCGGGCCATGGCACGGCAACTGTTTCCATATGTTCGTAAAGAGTGCGGAGCTGGCGGATTAATTAAGCTGAGATTTTGATCAATTTTGCACTAATGTGTTCTATTTTTGAGTGCACTTTGACTCCTGCAGGCTGTTGTCATACCACAGCGTGAGGTGATTCTGGCAACCTTGACACTGTCCCAGAATACCCATACATAGGAGCTGTGTCCACCACCATGCTGGCATATTCTTCCAGATCATTCAATTGGCAGATACGCAGGGACTCGGACGGAACAGGAAATCATGGCATGCTTGCGGAATGCTTTCAGTGTGTTCGTGCTGAGTTCATGGGCCAGACGTAAGGTAAGTTAGCACGGATAATATTGGTAGTGAGCCTCGACAATTGTGTGTAGGCCAAGACACCCCTCGGACAGGAACCAACAAGACGAGTCACCATTGTCGATCCTCCAAGGCGATCCTAACACCCGACGGAACATGCTCACATTCGCAGCCAAATGGGCGCTGCCTTAGGGGCTTGAGGCACCAG